TATATATATATATCCTGCTAGACATTATGCATCTATAAATTTTATATATATATATATATATATATATATATATATATATATATATATATATATATATATATATATTATAAAATAAATTATATTAAATTTATATATATATATATATATATATATATAGTATATTTATATTGTATATATATACATATACATTTGTATATATATGTAGGTATATAAATGTATATACATACATACATTATATATATATATATATATATATATATATATATATATATGCATTTTATAGTACGTGCATTAAAAACAATATAAATAAAATGTAGCGATTTCAGTATTTCACGTGATAATACAGCAATGTTGTATACATGTTGTCAACATGTATTTTAAAGTATAATGTTTAAATAAAATACATTAGCGATTTAATAATTAAAGATTTAATTATATAAATATTAAATAGTACATAATATAACTTATTTAGCCTAAAACTAAACTTGTTTAAACAAGTAATAAACAGTTTATTCAGCTGTTATTTATATATATATATATATATATATATATATATATATATATATATATATACATATATATATATATATATATATATATATATATATATATATAATATATATATATATATATATATATATATATATATATATATATATATATATATATATATATGTTTATATATATAACGTATATATATATTTATATGTAACATATATATATATATATGTATATATACATATATATAACTAGACACCAGGGCTGTGGTGTCGGAGTTGCAGAATTGCAACTTTTTAAGTGGAGTCTGAGTCTCTCAACAAAATTGCGACTCTGACTCCAATTGTAAAATTTCTCTGCATTGCACGTGCATGTACAAATCATTCAATTAACCTTATGTTCATACTAAACCTCAAATAACATTTCATAAAATTGTAAAAAAAAAAAAACAATTTTTAACTTGTCGCGTAATTTTAGTTGGAGTTGTACTTAAAAAATTTCAATAACTGTATTTGGAGTCGTTACTTTTTTTTTACAACTCCACACTCCTGCTAGACATTATGCATCTATACATTTTATATATATATATATATATATATACATATATATATATATATATATATATATATATATATATATATATATATATATATATATATATATATATATATATATATATATATTTATATATATATATATATATATATATAAATATATATATATATATAATATATATATATATATATATATATATATATATATATATATATATATATATGTATATATACATGTATATATATACAAACTAAGATAGTGTGTTATATCTATATATTTATACGTTATATATATATATATATATATATATATATATATATATATATATATATATATATATATATATATATATATATATATATATATATATATATATATATATGTATATATATATTATAAAATAAATTATATTAAATTTATATATATATATATATATATATATATATATATATATATATATATATATATATATAGTATATTTATATTGTATATATATACATATACATTTATATATATATATGTAGGTATATAAATGTATATACATACATACATTATATATATATATATACATATATATATATATATATATATATATATATATATATATATATATATATATATATATATATATATATATATATATATATATATATATATATATATGTATATATATATATATATATATATATATATATATATATATATATATATATATATATATATATATATATATATATATATATATATATATATATGCATTTTATAGTACGTGCATTAAAAACAATATAAATAAAATGTAGCGATTTCAGTATTTCACGTGATAATACAGCAATGTTGTATACATGTTGTCAACATGTATTTTAAAGTATAATTTTTAAATAAAATACATTAGCGATTTAATAATTAAAGATTTAATTATATAAATATTAAATAGTACATAATATAACTTATTTAGCCTAAAACTAAACTTGTTTAAACAAATAGTAAACAGTTTATTCAGCTGTTATTTATGAGAAAAATTTAACACATTATTTTGTTCGGATGCCATTTTTAATATTTTAGAAAATTTCTCCGTTTTCGGTTTTAACTGTAGGGTATAGCAGAGTTAGGTTTTACCGTTAACTATCTTCTGTTAACTTTATTTTACCCTGAACTGAGAACACGAGAATACAAATTTATTTTAACGCCGGTGTTAAAAACTGCCGTTATATTTTAACCAGCCCTTAGCTTAACGCAGGGTTTAACGAAAAGACGTGAATACGGCTACTGGTTAGTAAATTTATTTTTGACAATAACGGTAATAACTTTTATTTGTTTAAACTGAGTATAAAAATGTGCTTAATTTATACTCAAAATTGTAACAGACAAACAACAGACGAACAACAAATTGTAACAGACAATAAAAAATATTAAATGTACATTTACTGATGTTACAATGATGACATCACAAATAGTAAATGTTACTGATAAGTTTACCAATGCTAAATGTACATTACTAATATATGTAAGTAAAAAATTTGTAGAACTAGTAAGAGAATTTGTAAAATTAGTAAGAGATTTATGTAAAACAGAATTGCATGAATGTGTAAATATTCACTATATATATTACTGCGATTAAGATGTAAGAGTCAGATGTAAGAGTACGATTAAGATTTAGAGCAAGATGTAAGAAAATATTTTTTTTAATGTAAAGAGTATTGAACAAAAGTCAATATTTTATTAAGTACCAAAGTATTGTGAAAAAATACAAAATATAAAAAAATACGTTTTAATAAATACATATATATTTAAAAAAAAAAAGTATGTATTCAAGTATAAAATAATATGCATGTTTTATAATAAAATATACAAATCTAAACAAATATGCTTTCTATAAAGAAGGGGTTGTGGTTGATATTTCAGTTTCAGCTTTAAACTCATCAGCTTCAGATTAAAGCTGAAGCTGATGGAGTCAATTTAATCAGCGAGATAGCAGATACTAAAAGAGAATGATACTCCATAAAAAAATTATATATAAAAAAAAATTCATGCAATAAATTATTCAATGAAAACTTAAATAGTGACACTACTTAAACATGCATGTAAAAAATTTTCATTCAAATTTGCCAAAAGTTGTAGCTGTTTTTAAATGTTGCTGTCAGAGTATTAGACCAAGGACTTGCATTTTTAGGGGTATCCAAAATGGGTTTTTAGTGATTTTTTTCAAAAGTGATGTTTAAAAATCTTTTATTCCATTTATGATTATCTAGATAATTTTTAGGTAGAGCTCAAAGTTCTTGCAAAAGATTGTTTCATCTATAAAAATAACTGTTGTAAGCAATGAGTTCAGAAAGGAGAGAGTTTCAGTAAGGTAATATTACTACATATTTTATCAATTTAAAGGACTGATTCAAATTTTTGTCATAAAAGCATTCTGAACATTCTAGTGGTGTGTCACATATAATTGAGTTAAATTTTGGCATCATGAAGAGGGTTTTTTTAAACTATATGCATCTAGTATGCATAAGGGTAATGCGAAGACATTATGATTATAAACTTATGGTTAAAGGTCCCAAGATGTTTTAAGTTGTCTCATATAAAATTCAACACTTTATCTTACTGATTGTTCCAGACGCCATTACATTCGAAGAAAATATTCTAGAAAACCAAGGTCTTCGTTAGATATTAAAAAATGGAAAGCAACTCTAGACTTTTTCTAATATACACTGAGCCGTGGTTTTAAAGAGGATAATTGAGCCAAAAATCTATTGAGACTTTTTAGATCTTTTAGTTGTAGTTTATATTTTATTATGTCCTATATTGTTGTAAAATTATGTTGATTTTGCTTGTCAGTTACTAACTTGTTTTGTGCAGTTGTTTGTTAAGAATTAACTATTTTAAAATGTCAATTCTTAAATCCATATACGAGATGATGCAGCTAAACTTACTTAATAGATGTTTCTCATTCTTATATGTAAATTTTTTGGGTCAATTAAATAATCTTGTTTAAACTGCAGTAGTACTCAGTAGTCATGTTAACAAATTGTAAAACAGTTGCTTAAATAAACACATAGAATAAGATAAACAGAAGTGTAATATTCCTCACTTTGATGGGCGAGTAACCAATGCATTGAAACACTGTTTACAAGTTTAAAATTATCAAGGTTTAGAGGGTTTATTTTTAGCTAAAAGGGGTAATAATTGTTTAGAAATTACCTAAAAAATTTGTTTAGTTCAAATTATTTTAAAAAGGGAAGCAGATGAATCTTGTGATGGATGGGTTGTGTTAGAGAAATTTGAAGCTTTCAAGTCTTTTTTAACAGGTACCACTTTCTTCCGATGATTTGTCTGTATTCTATGCAAAAATTCTATGCCAGAATTCCCTTTTTCTTGTCAAACTCATAAATAAATCAGTATTAGGATTATCATACAAATTAGTATGAGCTCTAACATAATGCTGCTTTCCGAAGGTAATTATTGATATTCTTCGATTAGGGTTCTAGACCTGCAGACAGGTCGCCACAGTCCTTGTCTAAAAGTGTCGGGACCTGTCTTCCCCCACACTTCCAGAAAAAGAACCTTTTGCTCCTTGCATATTGCATAACGTAAGTTTATTTATTACCTTTTTTGAAAAATATCAACTAAGACTATTAATTCGAAATAACTCACCAGAAATTAAATTAAAGATAAGTCGAGAGTTGTAAGTGAGTGATTTAATTAAAAGTTAATTGAAGTTAATTGTTAATAGAAATTAAGAGTAATTTTAAAACTAATTTAAAATACGTATTTAGCAATAACAGTTTTTTTATACTTAAAAAAGTTTAAACTGAGGCATTTACTAGAAGCATAAACAAATTATTTACTATTTATAAAAAACTTACCATTACTAGGCTTGTTTTCACACAGTTACAAAACAAGAAAAAATTTTAAGTAATTTAATAACAATAATATAAAGTAATATAAAATACCTCTAGATACAATAACAATAGGTTCCATAACATTGACTATCATAAAAATAAAATATTGAAAATAAATTAATAATACTAGTTTAAAACCATAAATAATAGTAATAATAATGTTTATGTTAATAAAAACAACAACATAACAATAATTATAATAGTAGTAGTAATAGTAATAATAATAATAACAATAACAGCAATTAAAATAATAGTAAAAAATTATGATAGATATGTATGTTGAAATCTTAAAATAAAAAAATATTGAACAAGAAAACATACTGGAATTTCCATTGATAACAAACAGGTTTTTGATTAAACCATTTTGAACTTCAGCCCATGGATTTGAAGCATATACTTTAACTTTAAAAAAATGTTTAGCTTGATAGTTTATAATAGAAAATACAACTTCTTCATTTATACTGATTGTGTAAATATAAAATGATCCGTTAAAAACTTGACTTATTACAATATTCGACCATTGATTGACTTTAAATGCATTTGTTGAAAAAGTATGCACATCTACATATCCATTAATTGAAGATGCAATATCAAGTACACCATTTCCTTGTGAATTTGACCAGATTCCTGGCGTTTTATCACCATAATTAGAATGATCAGAACCAATAGTGAAGTGAATAATATTATGTGAACCAAAATCAAACTTAATAGGATTAAAATCAAGGGAAACAATAAATTCTTTATCTAAAACGGGAATCTCGGCAATTAAATTTCCCTTTGCTAATGGGGTGATTGTGTTACCAATGATGTACTCTAAAATACAACAAGATCCACAACATATCAACAAGATAAAAGAACAAAACTGTTGTATACATTAAAGTATAACTATAGATGTTGTGGTTTTTTTGTTCAATAATTTATTCCATAAACATACTTAAAATTTTTCAATTTAAATCAGCACTGTTTATTATATTATAACAGATAAAGATTCATAAAACTAAATGTAAAACCTTGGTTCAAATTTCAAGTAAGCAAATAAACCATGTAATTAACAATAATACATTGAGAGAAAAATTAAAAACTCAAAAAATAAAAGAACATCTGCGGGTATTTCAATGATTTTCGCAAACCATGATCTAATGTAAAGTTGCTGCTCCAGTAAAGTTTTTCGATAGGGATTCTAGATAACAAGTTTTGCAGCTCTTGGAAACTGTTTTAAAACATTTAAAAACTAAATACATAACAGATTTTATTCAAATTATTCGAAAACTCTTATTTTTTTAGTAAATTGAATAAAATTTGTTGAAACCAGATGTAAATACATACAAATGTATATACGTTTCAACAACCAGGTTGGGTTATCCTGCTTCTGATAATACGCAACCCAGTACAACCTGTTTCATGTCCTGCTGTATTGCAGGACTTATCAGGCAAAAGCTAGGTGATGCAAACTCTAACTTTATATATACCCAGTCTCTACTTTGGGGCTCTTGTTTGATAAAAATAATCATCTTGAAAAGACATTAAACGCATCCGAGACTGTCTCGCAAAAAAATTTCTAAGCAAAGGCTTGAGGGCCAAACAGGTTCTATCTGAAAAACTTTGCACCCATTCTTCATCTATTAGGCTAGCACAGATGTGTATACAAAACATTTTTTTCAGTTTAGGATGTTAAATGCTGAATTTTTTTTTTTAAGGCATGGGTTTCGCATGTGTCTCTGTTTTTATAACAAGGCAATTCATTCTATTATCTCTTAATCAAAAAACAGCTCTAAAACTCAGTTTTATAGTTCGGAGGTCTGCTGATAGTCAGGCTTCCCTCATTACAATGTAGCTCTCAGAAAGGTTGATTCCATCAATAGCAGTTAAAAAATCTGAGTGCTAATAGTGCCATGTTGTGCATAAATGTTGTCACCATTTGTACTTTTAATGTGTGTTGTTAAGACCAAATTAGGAGCACTTTGTTACGGTTTAGGGTTGTGACCTTAACGTTAATGGTTGAATTCTTCCTTTAATTCATAAGGACTCCACCAGTCACATGCTTGGCCTGGGTGTTTATATACAAAAATATAAATTATAAAAGTTCATTCATTTGTTCAGAAAATAGATTTGAATCCACACATTTTTCTTTTTTGGGCTTTAGTTTAGCACCACTTTATTCTATCGTCTTTCTCTTTGTTCTATATTGGTCTCCTTCATCACAAGACTGCACATTTTTTGATGTTATTTCTCATATGTGATAAATATATCATTTTGATAAATATTTCTCATATTTGATAAAGATAAAAATAAAGATCTTTCCCTTTATTCTTCAACTATTTTTGTTGCTATTATTGACTTAATTGCTCATCACACTGAATTTTTGGTTTGTTAATGGTGATAACCAATAGGTTTTATCGAGCATTAAATAGATGTGAAGTTGTTAAGGCTATGGCTATTAACATATTTGGCGCCTTTAATAAAGGTTGGCATACTGGTTTTTACCATAAGATCTTTTCCTGCAGTGTATCAGGTAACATCTTTAAGATTGTTAAAGATTATTGAATCCTTCTTTACCAATCGTAGTATAAATGTTGTCATCAATGGACAGCACTCTTCTTAATATCCTCTATATTTAGGGGTTCCTCAACGTTCTATTTGTCGCCCTAAACTCTTTTTAATATACATTAGCGATCTCCTAGTAATTATAACATCTATAGTTATATTGTTCGCTGATGATCCTACCATTTATTTTTGTCTTAATAAGAAGTCAACACTCTTTATTTACTTGCAGGGGGCATTTCAACTTAAAAAAAAAAGTTTTTTTCCTTGATCATCAGTGATGAAACTTGTAATCTTGCGTCCTTTAGTCTTCTTGCAATAACATGAGCAATCAGCTGACAGGTGACATGCAGAATTTTTTTGAAAAGTGCCATTTTGCAGCGGACAAAACAAGTGCAAACATTTTGGTTTGTTTTATTTTCTTAAGTCTAGTTCGTGTCAAGGTCATGGAAGTTTTTTAATATTTAGAGGAAGTATCCAAAAGTTTCCAGAAGATTTCAGAAGCATGCAGAAGCTTCCAGAAGTTTCCAGAAGAAGCATCTGGAAGCATCCAGATGCATCCAGAAATATCCAGAAACATTTAAAAGTATCCAGACGCATTCAGAAGCTTCCAGAAGCATTGAAAAGAAGCATCTAGAATCTTCCAGAACAGGTTCAACCAGGCTCATTTTACTATATAAGAGACATGTACACCGACATGTAATTCAGTCGGTATATATATGGTCAAATCAGTCAGTATTATCAAGACAGTTTATCGAAGTAAATTTTATCAAAGTGTTTTAACGAAGAACATCAATACAAAAAGTAAAATACAACAAGTTTTTCATTACATCAATACAGTCCACATCCAACCAAGGCGTTGTGTTCCACAGAGCATTATTGTATCATCACAAGGTAAATGTTACACGGTAAGCCTTAAAAAATGTAATTATTTATTTTTATTGTTTTTATGACTTCAAGTGTAAAAACGGCTCCCGACAGTCTTGGATTGGAACTAAGAAAAAAAATCATTGGCGATTACGTAAGTGGAATGTCACAATAAAGTATTTGTGATAAATATCGCGTGAAAAAATGGACCGTATCGATACTATGTTCCAAATATCGTTCTATGGGAAGTAGGCAGCAGATAATAAAGATAACAATTCGAAACACACTGCAAAAGTAGTTAAGCAGTGGTTTCAAGACAATCACCTATCGGTGATGGATTGGCCGCCTCAATCTCCGGATCTCAACCCTATCGAGAACCTGTTGGAGATCGTCAACCGCAGAATTAATGGGGATGGTGTTTGTAATAAAAATCAATTGTTTGAACAAATCCAAAAGACCTGGGCAGCGATTCCACAAAGTTTCCCATTAAATATTCGAGGGTCTTGAGGGTCCCCATAAATCATTTTTTATTCAAAAAAATTTTAAACCTAGTGTTTTTGTATTAGATAGAAGACATTTAGGCGGTGGGAGCAGATTTTTCTTAAAAAAGTTGTTTTAAGTGCCACCCTAATATATATATATATATATATATATATATATATATATATATATATATATATATATATATATATATATATATATATATATATATATATATATATATATATATATATATATATATATATATATATATATATATATATTATATATATATAGATATATAGATATATACATATACATCTCTATATATATGTATATATATATATATATATATATATATATATATATATATATATATATATATATATATATATATATATATATATATATATATATATATATATATATATATATATATATATATATATATATATATATATATATATATATATATATATATATATATATATATATATATATATATATATATATATATATATATATATATATATATATATATATATATATATATATTAGGCCGGATCATAAAAATTAATTTTTTTTAGAATTTGTGAAAAGTGGCGTGATATAGTGTTGTTTAATATTTACAAAAAAAATATTAAAAAGAATTGTTATTAAGTTTTAAGGTTTTATATGCTAAGTATATTTACTTTAGTATATGCATTAACTGAAACATGCATTTAACCCTAATACTAGATATAATCCCAAGGTTATGAAATTGAACCAAACCTATACCTACCTAACTAAATTAACCCTAATGATATGATCAACTCCAACGCTATTATAACTTTATATTATTATATTATTATTATTATATTATTCTATTTTTATATGATTGTTTATTAATTTCTGCTTTTATCAACTTATTGCAGAATTTATCCGTCTCATCTTGTATTTTTAGAAATAACTGAAATTCTGATATGTTATAAAATTGTAAAACAATAATGATTTCAAGATCTAAAGCTTAAAAGAAATCGTTATATACTTTTTGGAGAAGGTCGTGAATTACCCAATTTTTGCTTGCCAACCCACAAGCAAGTAGGCAAAGCATACTTGTCTGAGAAGAATTATGAAACTGAACCACTACGGTCTGTTTGTAAGAGACTAGCAGAGAAACTTTCTCAGATATGGATTAAAGCATCAGTTCCTACTATTAGTCTTCGAGGCATAGAATTACAGCTGGAGAAGTACATAGGCGATGTTCAGAAAGTGATTGGATCAAAGTCTGCAACAGCCAAACAAGATGAAATAGAAAAAGATCTTGACACCTTGTTTGACATTTGTTCGTGTAAATGCAAATAACTTTCGTCTTGTTGCTGTCCAATGGTTCTGAAGATACCAGCAATTGAGCAAGACTTCCTAACTGATCAACACACTATACGTGTTGGCAGAATAGCTGGAATCGACAAGAAGGAATCCGCACGTGCTGAGAGGCGTTTTAAACGAAAATCTGTTTAATTATCAAAGGAAGAGACTGCAGTTAAGTGTGCCAGAGTCGTTTAAGCATCTGATAATGAATCAGATAATGAAACAGACAACAGTTCTGACACCGAAACTTATTCTCCTTCCGTATCAGATGTCGATACCGAAGTCACATCTACTCGTCTGAAAAACCGTTGTTTAAAAAATATTGCTCTACAAGCAGATGGTTTTGGCATATCAGATAGAGCAGCTGCCGCGATTGTATCAGCAACTCTTGTTGATTTTGGTATAGAACATATGGGGCCAGTGGATCGGAATAAAATTCGCGGAGAACAAAAACTACTGAGAACATCCTGTAAAAATGCTGATTGTAGAATTACTGGATTGTATTTTGATGGAAGGAAAGATCAGACTTTAAAACTTGAGGGGGATAGGCAGACTGTGATTTCTGAGGAACATATTTCCATTTTATCAGAGCCAAATTCGAAGTATGTTGATCATTGTACGCCAACAAGTGGATCAGCCAAATCCATTACAAATTCAATAATTGATACTGTTGGCTGAACGAACTTTGTTTGTATTGGTTTTTGATTCAACTAACGTTAATACTGGTTTAAACAATGGAGTTATACGCAGAATGGAAATTGAACTTGGTCGACCACTGCACTGGTCCATTTGTCTTTTACATCTGAACGAGCTTCCTTTGCGACATCTTTTTCACTCCTTAGATGGTGCAACAACTGGACCCCATTCATTTAATGGACCAATTGGCAAGTCTATTTCAATGTCTGTTCAGAAACCCATAGTCAGCTTTGCCATAATTGTTGGTGAACCTATTATATGCGATAAGCAGTTGTTAAGCAGTGATCAACTGTACTTTTTCGAAATTGTTAATGCGGTGAAGACAGGTGTTGTACCAGATAAATTTAATTCTAGAACACCTGGGCGACTAAACCATGCAAGGTGGTTGACACTAGCAAACCGTGTTCTACGCCTCTATATATCTACTGAAGATCCATCAAATGAACTAATACTTTTGGCTAAATTTATTGTGAATTCATATGCGGTTGTTTGGTTTGACATTAAGAAACATTCAAACTGCTGGAATGCTGCTCCACACTATTATAAAATGATAGAAACATCACAATTTCTTCCTGTGCGTTATCGAATAATTGTTCAGCAAGTTTTGAAGCGCAATAGCTACCCGGCTCATATCGAGAGCATTATTCTGGCTATGCTCAATGACAACCGTCAAGTGATCCGTAAGCTTGCGTTAAAGAGAATTCTTCGTGCTCGTGAAGATGACATACCAAATCAAAAATTTCAACTCCCTGAGATACGATTTCAAGCGACAAGTTATGAAGAACTGATTGACTGGCAAACACAGCCCCGCTTGGAACCTGTTCTGACAAAACATATTCCAACTGTACAAATATTGGCATGACTTTTGTCAGTTGAAGACATAGTTATTGACATTGAGCCATTTCCATGTCACAATCAAGTGTTGAACGTGTGATTAAAATTGTGACTGAATCAGCATCCAAAGTTTATGGTCATGAAAATCGTGATGGCTATATTTGCGTTCAACTGGAGCGCCGCAAGTTGATGCCTCACTTTGACCCAAAATCTGAATTTAAGAACATTTAAGTATAGTGTCTAATTAACGTTTGCTAATGATATCTTGTTTTGACTGTAATAATTTGAAAAAAAAAATTTGAATTTTATTATATATTCAATCAATAAATAATGTAACAAATAAGCGTTTTTAAGTTAATTTATTTGATAACTTCAAAGGTAAAAATGCAAAGTATAGCAAAGTAGTAGCGAAAAACGGTTTGCAGCATTGCATTCAGCGTATTTGAGAGCCAATTACTGGAAATTCCCGAAGAAATTTTCTAAATTATTTTAAGTTATGATCCGGCCTAATATATATATATATATATATATATATATATATATATATATATATATATATATATATATATATATATATATATATATATATGTATAGATATAGATATAGATATATATAGATATATACATATACATATATATATACATATATATATATATATATATATATATATATATATATATATATATATACATATATATATATATATATACATATATATATATATATATGTATATATATATATATATATATATATATATATATATATATATATATATATATATATATATATATATATATATATATATATATATATATATATATATATATATATATATATATATATATATATATATATATATATATATATATATATAGAGAGAGAGAGAGAGAGAGAGAGAGAGAGAGAGATATAGATATATAGATATATACATACACATATATATATATATATATATATGTGTATATATATATATATATATATATATATATATATATATATATATATATATATATATATATATATATATATATATATATATATACATAAATATATATATATATATGTATATATATATATATATATATATATATACACATATATATATATATATATATATGTATATATATATATATATAGATATATATATATACATATATATATATATGTATATATATATATATATATATATATATATATATATATATATATATATATATATATATATATATATATATATATATATATATATATATATATATATAGATAGATAGATAGATAGATAGATAGATAGATAGATAGATAGATAGATAGATAGATAGATAGATAGATAGATAGGTAGATAGATAGATAGGTAGATAGATAGATAGATAGATAGATAGATAGATATAGATATAGATATACATATATATATATAGATAGATAGATAGATAAATAAAAAACTTTTTACCAACTTTTCCATTGATTATCAGAAGGTCAGATATAGAACCATGTTGTGGAGGATCCCATATATTCGAACCATACACCTTGACATTTTTTAAATTTTCGGCCAAAATATTTTCTACTTTATAAACATTTACATTATTTAAATCAACCATAAACCAATAGATTTTTCCCAGCAACCACTGATATATTCTAATATTATGCCATTTGCCTAATATAAGCGGATTTGTTTTGACAGAGTAGTTATTACCATTAAATGAAGTATAAATAACAAGACTTCCAGACCCATTATGAAACCAAAGACCAAGATTAAAGTTATCATGTAATTTACATTTGTTACACAAAGTTAAATGAAGAACATTTTTCGAACCCTCTGAGTAACTCATAGGCTTTAAATTAAACGAAATAGTGTACTCCTTTTTTAAAACACCTAGTGTTCCAAGAATTGTTCCTTGATTTAAATCAAACTCATGTTTATAGTTAACGTAATCTAAAATGTATTAACATACAATTATTTAGGATTTAATTTCTAATTTTAAAAATATATAAAATTACTCAAAGTTTAATTTCAACATAACTTTTCAATATAAAACTGATAAAATCAGAATTAAAAAAAGTAATGATTATAAACTTTAATAATTAATAATAATATAAAATAAAATTTATAAATATACAAAAAAAAAAGTTTAAACTTAAAAAAATAAACTCACTTAAGAATAAAACGTTACTTTACTTTAAAAAGTATTTATAAACAAAATATTAAATAAATGTTAGTAATATCTTAGTAGTTTATCTTTTTTTATTTTGTATTTTGTTTTACGGTGTAACTTTTATTTAGACCAATGTTTAGGTTTTAATAAAGTTTTATTTAAATAATAAAATTACCTTTAGGAAGAACAATTATAGACTCAGTTTTATTACCTAAAAAAATAGAAACATTATTTTATTGTCAAAGTGAAAAATAAGTTAAACATTATTTTGAGATAAACTGAAAAGTTATGAAGTTTTAAGTAATTTATTTTAATTAAGTACTAAGACCATTTTCAGGTTTGAATAAATCATATACAAATTGTCTTTTAGTTGCAAAAGCAGTTAATATTGAAAAAAAAGTGGGTAGCTAATATGGAAATAGAAGAGGGTAGACCCGAAAAAATGTGGGAAGAGGTAGTAGTTCTGTAAATGCTTTTGTTTTTTAAATAAACACGTTAAGGTAAACTTAAATTCATTAATAAATGCAAAGTAATAAACAAAGAATCTTAACTAGCTTTAGTCTTGCAATAAGTAAAAAAATTTTATCTAATTTCATTCTTTAAAAAAAAATTCAATAAAAAAATTTACTTGAAATGCCATTGATAATAAAAAAGTTTTTTATTGAGCCATTTTGAACTTTGTCCCATGGATTTGAAGCATAAATTCTGACATTGAAAAAAACCCGGGCTTGATTGTTTATCATAGAAAATACAACATCTCCATTTATTCTGATTTTGTATATGTAAACTAAGCTATTGAAACTTTGAGAAACTTCAATATTTGACCACATATTTAATTTGATAGGATAATAATAAAAACTTAGTTCTCTACTGATTATAGCAGCAATTTTAATTTTTCCTTTACCATTTTCATCTAACCAGATGCCTAGAATTTTGTTTTCACTTTTAAGTATATTAGCTTCATAAGTAAATTGAATAATGTTGTGTAGTCCAATCTCAAATGCCATTGGATAAAGATCAAAAGACAATAGATACTCTTTATTTAACCTAGGTATTTGAGCAATGATTTTTCCTTTAACTAACAGGGTATTATAATTCTCAATAACATACTCTAAAAAAAAGGTAAAAAAAGTATTTTTTTAAATATAAAATTAAAACAAACAAAAAAATTATAAAAATTAGTCATACTTTTATTGAACAAGTTTATATATAATCTAAATTTATAAAACAACAAAAACATTAGAAAAGCACGACTAAAAACAAAAAATGAGCAAATAATAGGCTTTCAACTTTTCTTGTTTATATTGTTACAATCCTTACGGATCCAGAAAAATTATTTAATTCAAAATAAAAAAAATTTTATACTTGTAAAAAAATAAGAAACTTCAAAATAAATGTTTGCATGCTTATTTATTACCAGTTGTAAGAAATTAATGAAATAAATCTGGTTCTTAAAAGTTAAAAAAAAGAGTCAGAAAAATAATTCTGCTAGAAAGAATTTATTCTAAAGAATCAAAAATATAACTTAATATATAAAAACGAACTAGGAAACTATTTATAGTATTAAATTAGGTAGGATTTTTTTAATTTAAGTGTTACTTTCACAAGCTTTTAAAAACTTTTAACTTTCTAAAAATTCAAAAAACAACACTATGCTTGTCATATGCAAAGATAAGAAAGCATTCAAAATTAATTCCCAACAGTTTAGGAAAATATATGTAAATTTGCTCATACACAATTTATGTTGTATTTTATAATATTAATTTATTAGAGAAAAGGCTAATAACAAGTAAAAACCTTTTTTTAAAAAACTTCTTCTTTTCAACTGATTGTTGAAAAGAAAAAGTTAGCTTTTTCTCAACTAAATTAATATTATAAACTTGTATTTGTAAATAAAAAAATCATAAATAGTGACATGTCATAAACAAAAATATCATAAACAATATTATAAATCGGGGTAATTAATCAATTCATATATTTTGATATAGTTGTTACATTCACGGAAATTTACAAATAGTTCATGTACTAATCATAAGTAAAAACCTTGCTAATAAAAGCTAATAAATATTTTGTTTATGCAAATAGTAATATTAATCCGTCCACAACAGTAACAAAACGAACATTAAAATTGAAGGAGTAAAAATACTAATAATGATAATAATAAAAATGGTAGTAGTAACATTACAATGATAAAAGTAAAATGATAACGATACAATGATAAAAGTAAAATGATAATAATAAAAATAAAATAAAAATAATTACAAAATCATTAAAAAAATAATAGTAGTTTAGTATTAGTCACACACATACACACAGATACAGACACATACAAACACACATACATACTTACGTTTAGAAGTACATATAAACACATAAACTAATATCCTCTTGTATTCAATACAGGTACGTATACAATAATTGTATACATGCATAATTATATACACATTTATGTATAACAAACATATATATGTATAATATATATAGATTCATATATACTATACACAAATATACGTATATACAAACACGTACATATACATACACACATACATAAATACACATATACAAACATAATTACATATAGACATATTTAATAATAATTTATGTGTATTATATATGTGTTTATTATATACACATACATATATACGCATACACACACACTCACACACACACACACACACACACACACACACACACACAAAATCGCACACACACACACACATATATATATATATGTATATATATATATTTCATATATATATATATATATTTCATATATATATATATATATATATATATATATATATATATATATATATATATATATGAAATATATATATATGAAATAATAAAATTGAACAAGATCACTTAGTATAAGAATCTTAGAAGTAATTTAATGCACCTTAGGATTGAATTTGTAATTCTGTAAATTTATCATTTTTAAAACTTTGTTTTGAAGATGGGATTACCTTAAAACTGATTGCTGAGCTTGTCCCCATATTTGACAAGCATATTGTATACGTGAGCCAAAAATGGTATGATATATATTTAATAGTGTTTTCAGATTGACGTAATGGCGAACTTAAGCCAGCATTCCATTTGATTAGCTCAATATTATGGTTAAGTGTTTGAGATAGGATAAAAATGATAGGCTAGAACCAATTATGTTTACATACACACATACATAAATACACATATACAAACATAATTACATATAGACATATTTAATAATAATTTATGTGTATTATATATGTGTTTATTATATACACATACATATATACGCATACACACACACTCACACACACACACACACACACACACACACACACAAAATCGCACACACACACACACACATATATATATATATATATATATATTTCATATATATATATATATATTTCATATATATATATATATATATATATATATATATATATATATATATATATATATATATATATATATATATATATATATATATATATATATATATATATATATATATATATATATATATATATATATATATATATATATGAAATATATATATATGAAATAATAAAATTGAACAAGATCACTTAGTATAAGAATCTTAGAAGTAATTTAATGCACCTTAGGATTGAATTTGTAATTCTGTAAATTTATCATTTTTAAAACTTTGTTTTGAAGATGGGATTACCTTAAAACTGATTGCTGAGCTTGTCCCCATATTTGACAAGCATATTGTATACGTGAGCCAAAAATGGTATGATATATATTTAATAGTGTTTTCAGATTGACGTAATGGCGAACTTAAGCCAGCATTCCATTTGATTAGCTCAATATTATGGTTAAGTGTTTGAGATAGGATAAAAATGATAGGCTAGAACCAATTATGTTTACATGATTTTTGATTGAGTTTACAGGAATACTTTTCTGGTCACTTAATCTTAAGTTTAAATTTTTATTTAAATTATTTTATTTTATATAGATATATAGATATATTAGGTATATTAGGTATATAGATATATAGATATATAGATATATAGGCATATAGGAACAAATGCAAGTGGCGGAAAAACTAACCTAGTTAATGTTAAATTTTACAAATTTTGTAAAATTTTTAAGATGTAAGAACACAAAAAAATAAAACAATTTCTAAAAATAAGCTACAGCGACCAAAGTATCGAAACTCTAGACAAAATAAAAATATACAAGTTTTGTGTTTTGCAAACATATGATGCATTTTAGTTCTTTTAATACATTTTGGTATTTCAAAATTTAATTTTTTTCTTTTAAATAATGTGGTTTCCATGACAAATTTTCATCTATTATCACACCTAGAAAATTATTGATTAGTTCTCTTTTAATAAATACTTTATTGTTTAAAAGATTGAGTAATTTTTGTGGAACAATATCACCTTTACTAGGTTTGTAAAATAAAATAAGTTCTGTTTTTTCTACATTTAATGAAAGTCTGTTACTTTTAAACCACTCGTTTAATTTAAATAGTTCTTTATTATATATATTAAGGAGATCTTTAATTTCTTTGGTTGGATAAAAAAAGATTGGAGCTGTCTGTAAATAATACAGCATTTAAAATATTTTATGCTAAGTATAAATCATTTATATGAAATAAAAATAATAATGAACCTAAGGTTGAACCTTGGGGCAGACTATATGTAATTTGCTTTTCTTTTTCATAAATAGTGCATTTTGGCATGTTAACCTGAAAGTCTTTAACCCAAAAAGAGTTTTCGTTTTCATCATGTAGTTTTAATGAAAGGTTAAAAATATGAAATAATGACGGTTCAAGAATATTGAAAACCGACGGCAAAATACACTTTGTAAAATTAATTTGTGATAAACTAACATATTGTAAAGTTTGCAACGTGTGACAGTTTTCCATTCTATAATAGACATTATGTTTTGGTCTTTTATGCTCAATATTTCGTAGCTATTTCTTTGTCGTTTCTATATTTAACTGATGCAAATGATTTGAGATGGTTTGCGTATCTTAGTTTAAAGGGTGTATCACTAATGCCAAAATACTTTTTTATTAGAATCATGATGACTGAAACTTACGGTTGCTCGATAGACAATATTGCTAGATAAACATTGATTGTTTAAAGGGCAAAATGCTTTATCTACGCAGTTACATTGGTTGGTTTGTAATTAATTTGTGTAATTGTGCAAAATTTTGAAATCATGCGAAATTATGATTTTAGGTTAGGCATGTAACTGTATCAATTTATGATAGATTTTAGGTAAGGCATGCAAGTTATCTTAATAGAACTTTGGTTGAATATTTTATGTAGCTTGTGGCCGGTGGTAAATATAAGTTAATAAGTGCTATAAAACGGTTTTCTATTTTTATTTGACGTTTATGCTAAACGCAGGGTTATACCAAATAATATTACGTTTACTATGCTTTTTTTGTTGATTTTGACTTGAGATTTGTGGTTGGTAGGTAAGGTTTGATTTGTATCCCAATTCTTTCAAGGTCTTTTCATACGGTGGCATAGCCTTTTTGAAGAATATTTTATCCATTGACATGGAAGATAATCTTAGTTTAATATTGCAAAGAGTTGCTTTTATTTTGCTTGCAGGGTGGTTTGAATTAGAGTGAATGTACCTTATTAGATTATCAGGTTTTAAATATGGTTGAAACGTATTATTATTAAGATTCAACATAAAATCGAAATAGTTAACAATTTTAAAGTTAGATTGAATGTTGATTCGAAGATCATTTCTTTTAAAAATTATGTTATATGCTTTTTGATTTTATCTTTTTGCTGACCGTTTTAGTTCTTTAATACGGCAAGACTCTCGTCACGATATAGTCCGAAATCTTTTTTATTATAATGCTGTCAAATTTGATGCAGTATGAAAATACCTATTGATTTGCAAACTTTAGCACCATCAAATGCCGTGATGAACACCGTAATGAAATGACACTATAAATGAAAACACCCTCAACAATGCTATAAATTTTGCTGACCATCATATCGTTATCAAAAGCGAAGACAGGGTATTGATAAAGCTAAATTAATCTGCCACACACTAGACGAGTATTTCCAATCAGTTTTCGAAATCGAGCCGCTAAGGTCTATACTAAAAAGGTCTATACTAACA